TGGTTCTTTTCATGTAAGGTATGGATGTTTCAGAGATAAGGTAAGCAAACTAAGGTGAAATTAAAAATGGAGCTTACTGAAGATGAGACTCTTAAGCATTAGAATAAGATGAGGAGTGAATGAAGCAGGGGGCTTTGTTCAAGGACAGGGTATAACCAGTCATCGAGTGAAAACACCACCTAAGAAGGGATTTGTTGTTGCAGGGAGTTTATCTGTTACTTGGAGGGTTCAGGTGGAACTTAAATACCATATTCTCTGTGAATTTTAGATGTAATTAATAAAGTCACTGTTTAAATATTTAATCTGCCAAACCTTACATCCAAGGCTCTTGTTTTGTTTATGGGGATGTTTGTGATGATTTTTCCAGCAGGCAAAATCATTCCTTTTCATGGTCTGGGAGGGCTAACTGCTTGGGACAGCAGGAAAGGTAAGCTGGAGTTTGCAGACTAGCTCATTACTGGACTATAGGTACCATTACAGCAGTAATTTTTGTTCTGGATTAGACTGTAGTGATTTAACATAACCTTTTCTCTTTCATACCATAATTAGTTCCCCTTTAAATGTTACTAGTTTGGTCATTTTAAAGTACTGCTTTTTGCAATTTCAGAAGCTGGTTTTTAACTGCCTTAATGTTTCACACCTACGCTACATGTCCCATTTAGTGCCTAAGTTTCATTCCAGTATCAGTATCTTTCAGAGAAATGTTTAGTTTAAATACCAGTCACAAAAAAACCCCTCCTGCATGATTACGCAATGTGCAGTCTAATCAACTCAGTAATCAAAACAGCCTGAATCACTGTGTTCCCTTTTCACCTCTGCTTGTCTCTCTTAGACAAAGTGAAGCCCTAAAATCCTGAGTGTACCCTTGTCGTCTCTGGGGAGCTCTGTTGCATCCACAAGTATGGACATTGCTAAGCTAATTTCACCCCTTTCTTTTGCTTCTGTGGCTGTAGAGAGTGTTTGCCTTGATATCATGCCTTTACTTTTGCCCTCCTCAGTCAGCCCCCCTGGCGACACGGCAGTCACTGCAGACATGCAGTACTTTATTTTTCTCTGGTTTCAGCACTGGGATTGTTAGTGGATTGGCTGGGATATGGAAGGAAAGAAAGATCAGTGAGAAACGGGGTTTGAATGAGTTGCAGAGTGAGCATTGGGCTGGTCAGGACTGGAGGGGGAGCTGCTTGTTGCTCTTCGAGGCATTTGATGCACTTATCCTTCAGTTTAATTCCATCTCATTTCTCAGTATGGTTTTCTTGCTGACCACAAGCCTAGAAAACCATGAAAAGTTGGATTTGAGAGTTTTACTGGCTTTGACAAACATCAGTGGTGCTAGTAGCATTGTTAGGAACACGTGGTGGGCTAATTTTCAGCGCTGTCGAGACCTGACTCTCGCCGAAAGGTACAACACAGAGGCTGAAATTTTTTCAGACTGGGCTTTGGGGTAGACTTCCCCCCACTCACACATCTCATGGTCCTGCAGCACTCTCCAGGGATGTTCTCAGTGCTAATATTCAGTGTGAATTCTCCGAGCTGTTTATTTTGTACTGTTTGATTTTGCAGCTGGGGTTTGCTTCCAAGAACCTGCTGTAGGAAGATGAATAATTAAATTGCAGACAGGAAGCACAACATTTTAACACTCAATTGCTTCAGAGACATCTTTGAGTTTTGTTTTTTTATGATGTCTTAGTCAGCAGTGGCCTGACTGATGGATCTTAACATTTGCTACCAGTTCGTGTGTTCAGAGGTGCATTTGGAGGTGCTGAATGTGAGCTTCAGGCCAGCTCTGCTCATTATAGTGACCAAATCTGGCTACTCATGTACAGTATGAACAAAATGTGACTGTGTGTGGATCACTGGGACTCCATAAAACCTAGTGTGCTCTATTAGCTTCAGATGTTTATGTCTGCTTGCTTCCCTTGCTATTGGTAGAACCCACTTAGGATACTTTTGTTTTCTTTTCTCATCTTGGGCTAGTCATGAAAAAAATTGCCAAGCAAGGCTTTATAGCAAAACCCTGACTGGTGTACTGAATGAGGCAGCTAGTAAAAGCTGCTCAGAATGTCATTCTGAAACAGATGGTTTTCTGAGATGCATCAGAAAGGTTGGTAGAGGGTCCTTCCTGCTACTTCTCATACATACTTAGGGCTTTAGGATTTCCTGAAAAGAAGCCTAACTTCTAGGAAATAATCTCCAGCTTGGGTGAAGTCAAAGACTTTTTGGCTGCTATAGCAGTAAACAGAATTGAGTAAACTGCAGGGGCTGCAGTGCTGCCCTCCAGCATTTCCCCAGTGCATTATGGTCATGTATGGTGTCTGTGAACTTCCAGCTCAACCCCAGAAGCAAATGGAAACTTAAAACCAGGTCAAACAGGCCATGCAGCAGAGCTGGAGAACAAAAGCAGATGTATCTTTCATTAATAGATAGTAGCTTTGATATTCACTGGATAAAAGAAACGAGCTATTCCATAGACTAAGACAATGGAGTAAACAGTTGGCTCTAGTTCTGTTTCTGCCAGCTATCAGGGTATGTGCTGGTGCAGGTGAGTGTTGAACAACAACTTTGATCTGGGACAAAATGCACTCATTAATGCTGTGTTGTGGGTAGATTGCAGATCTAAAGATATTATAGAGGGAGGAGTCAATCTCTGTGCATCTCCAAGCTTAAAAGGGATGCCTTAGGACTGTTGAACCTGACTAGATCCTTGAGGGAAATCATAAGGTAAGCTGTGTTTATTTTTCTGTCATTACCATTAAATTAAGTCTAGCATAAAGAAAAACTTACTAATTTATCCAAAATAATGAGCAATGTATTTTTCATGTTGCTGTCTTCATGAAAAATACCCATGGTGTTAGTCTTACAGTATGTGTGCAGGTGTACTTGACAGACTCACTCTGACAACTAAAGGCACGTCTGCATGCTGTCTTTTAATTATGGTATAAATAATTTCCCAAACTGTAAAATAATCACAGATAATACATTTCTGTACAAGCTCATCAGTACATAACTATCACATGTTAGCAGACAGGGACATCACTGGCCTTCTCCCACCAGCAAGGCTGTGGCTTATTTCCGCACCTTACAGAGCTCCTTGTAAAGCTTAAAGGAGTATTTTGTATTTCAGGATTGTATCCTGAAAATATCTCAAATCAACATACGGTGTTTTGACTTCTATACAGCTGAGCTTTTCTTGGAAATACATTATAAAGCTTAAACTCTTATGATGAAGATAGATAATATGTAAGACTGTTTTTAGTAGTCTAACAATAGATAATACCAGCTTGCTTTCCTCTGTGCTGTGCATGGGTAATACAAGTACTGAGCTAGGATTACTGCTAGGTGAAAGGAAGGTGATGCCCAGATATGAAATGCAGCTGCACTGCAGGCTCTGTTCAAAGGAAGGCAACTTCTTGGACATTTATGACTGATTGTAATTTTATTTGAAGCTGGGTGTATGTGCCCACCTGAAGAGGGATGACATCAGAGAATCTCAGATGGATCGGAATTTTGTCCAGGGGAAGAAGTTGCAAAGGAATCAACAAACACAGTATTAGAGGTGAATTCAGGGTCTTTGCTCCATGAATTTTATCACTCTTTAACCCTGATTTATAGGAATTTCCTTCCTCTTTGATATCCAAGATGAGTATGTTCCTTTAAGGTAAACTGTGGCTGGAAAAAAAAAAAAATGCTTCAAAGTATTGGCTATTCTTCAAAAAACTAAGCAATCCAGTGTTCTTGTCCAATGCTTAAAATATGAAGTTACAGACTGACCTTGGAAAGCCCAGGTTGCTGTGTTTTTTTGCTTTCTTGCAATGAATTCAGAAAGGCTTTTATTCTGAAGCCCTTTTGTCTGAAGCCTTCTTTCTCCCTTCACGTGACACCCACAGCAATATGCAAAGTCTTGGCTGCTCTTTGCAATTGACTATATGCCAAGCAAGAGCACCGATGTTTATAAAAACCAGCTCAGTCCATTGACAAATTTCCCTTTGGTTTGAAGAAGCTCCCAAATATGACACAAGCAGCATCTCTGTGTGGTTTTACCTTCGCAAGCACAGGCCATAGGATCTCTCCAGATGCCAACCTTCTGAAGATCTGGATTAGATGGTGAGGGAGATCACATACTGTTGTATTACTTTGAGTTTTCACTGTCAGTCAGCGTAGGGTAGAGAGCCTGAGCTCATGGAATTGCCAAAACCTGGTCCCCTGAGTCCTGAGTGTGTCATGGAGCAGATACTTGAACTGAGGACTTGATGTGAATAATGAAAAATCAAGACTCAGAGGGATCAACTCAAAGTTCTTATTGTCCTTTCTTTAAAGGCTCTTTGGAAGTCTGCCCCTTCCCAGTTATTACTTACCTATCCTTGCTCAACCAGCCAAGCCAGCCTCAGGATCCAGATTGTTTTCTTATAGTCCATTTTATCTGCAATGTACAGGACCCCATTTCAATAGCTGATAGTTGCTCTCTTCTTATGAGGCCAACAGAAGGCCAACCAGGCAGCAGCGATTTGATCTGAGCACACACTGAGGTGACTTGATTTCCTTTATTCTAGTTACTGTGTAGTTCAGTTATTTCTCAATGAGTCCAAGTCAAGGTAACAAGTTGACAATGGACTCTGTGCAACTTAGTGTCAACTCCTATCCTCTATCTATCTTTTTTCCTTCCTCACATTTCTAACAATGCTGAAAAACCTCCAAAGACTGTGTTTTGCAATGTGCTTTTACACACTGGCCCACTAAGCACTACTGTAATTCTAATAAATAATAATAAATTAAAGACGCTGTTATTATTTGGACTCACTAATGGAGAAGGACCTACATGGTGTGTGTATGTGCAAATATGGAATCTTTGCCTATTCCTGCAATAGTTTCTCATCTTCTCTTAACATTGTAAATAAGATGTGCTAATATTACTCTACTTCTAAAGTTAGTTCATCTGGTTGCAGTAACTCTAGGCTCCGTTTCTCAGCTGGTCTGCTATCTGTTCCTGCTAAAGTCTGCCTGCATTACCTGAGGGGTGATGTCTGCATTGTTGTTTGAGCTTTCTTTTTCCATTGGAAAGGCTTCTTCACTTGCTTCTTCTGAGTGCAGGAAAGACGTGGGCTGTGGAGCAGGTTCCACATTAGCCAGATCTCTGCAACTTTCAGGCTGTGGACTACCATGAGATCTTTGTAAAAACAAGGGTCAAATGTCTGTAGGTGTGGGGCAGCAGAGGGCTTGACAATGCCAAAGGTCTTGAAACCTTCATGCAAGATGGGTTTGAGGTTGATTCTCTGTAAGCACATGCCCAAAAAGACATCATCAATGGGGAAGAGTTCCACTTCTTTGCAAGCCCTAGAAAGCTTCCTCATGGTGTGGCTGGACAGCAAAAACCCTCCTCCCCCTGCGTAGGCTGGATAGATGCTTAGCCCATACATGGTTTCTGGGATGTAGTATTTGCTCTTTCGGACACGGATAGGGCGGGCATTGTAGATGATGTCCCCAACAAAGAGGTCCTCAGTGGGGTCATGTCTCTCGAGGAAGTCAACAATGTTCTCGACATTGACAAAAACATCGGCATCACCTTTAAAAATAAACTTCACGTTGTGACAGAACTCAGCAGCCCAGTTCAGGAAGTGGATCTCCTTCAGGGTCAGATTGAAGAAAGTGTCCATGAAGTCCCAGAGTAAAATGTCCCGGTATGTCTGACTCTCCTGGTGAATCAGGGTCTCCCATGTGGCCAGCACTGTCCTATTCTTTGGCGTTCCCAGGAGGAACACCCGCTGGATCTGCTTCCCATTCACCAGAGCCTCCCTGCCCCAAGTTTTCCGGACAATCTCACGTCTGTCGAAGTCTTCAACTACTGATTTGATAGCAATGAGCAGAAACGGACCTCCAGGTGTTCTCCTGCATTTCTTGGGCTGGTTAATGAGGAGATTGAAGTTCCTGTTATCCTTGTTTAGGAGATAGCGCTTGAAGTTGAAGGCAGAATCACTCAAGGGGGATGGGGTTGTTGTTTGGACCCTTTTGTTGGCCACTTCTCTTTGTCTAAGGACAGGAGTTACTTGGAGCCTGGGTTCCATTGCCTCTGGTGGCATCGGTCTCCAGGGCGCTCTGGAGTCAGAGAATGTTTTTGGTGTTACTGAAGGCTTCTTCTGTGTCAGCTGCTTGTTTCCTACAGGGACTAAATGTTCTAGCTGGGAGTAGAGTAAAGAGCAAAGCGCTACCAGCAGGAAGAGGGTACAGATAGCATCCCCTTTGAGACGAACTCTCATTGTCTCTGCAGTGTTTCTGGGACTGTTAAAAGCTGTGTTTGAGCTGTCTGGTACCAATGTCCATCTGTAAAGAAGCATACAGTGTGTCAGCAATGAGGATTTGGCAGCTTTGAGGCATGCAGGCAAATGTAACTGAAACACCATTTGAAAACTAGCAGTAAGGTGCATTATATGGAGCACTGAGACTTGTTAAAGAGCTTGCCAAAGGGCATACAGGTTGCCAACCTAGTGCTGATCTTAGTGCTCTGGCTCTGTGACCTGGTTAGTTAAGTCACCAAGCAGTCATCCAGCATCCTGCAAACCGTATTCCACAAGCATAATGTGAAATCAGCCCTTTCTCCCACATCCCTCTCTGCCACACACCAATGGTCTACCATTTTGGAGATTTCACTGCTTTGGGAAAAATGAGGTGGAAAATGATGAACAATGCCATTCTTCCAGAAATCATTAGGGTTGTTTCCTTTTCTTTTTTCTTTTTCTCTCCCCTTTTTCCCTAACTTGGTAACTGTTTCTTACTGCTTTTACCCTTTTTGAGTCAGACAGGGAGGAGCAGAGCTGGCTGCTGAAGGGCAGACTTTCCAGATGCAGCGTGTCACTGGCATTTCCCTGCACACAGAGCCAGCTCTTACAACCCAGCTATGATTTGTGTCTTCAAAATGAATACATTAGGCATGCTCTCAAATGTATACAGAGCCTTTTTGCTGCTAGTGATCTTTATAAAATATTAAATCATTATAAATAACTTCCATTAATAAGGTTAGAAGGAGCCATGGGTGTTTTGCCTTTGCCAAATGACCCTAACAGGTAAGCAAGAGATGGGCAAATAAATCCCAATATGCAGAAGCAAGGCAGTCCCTGGTGTTAGGAATGTTTAACTCGTGTGATAGGAGAAGCTGCATTTTGAAATACAAGATGTGATTCCTCACTTACGATTTTCCTGGAGATCTTCTGCCTCATTTGATCCGTTCTTCAACTGCAAACACAACAAACCGAAAAATTATAGAAGAGTGGTAAGAAGGCAGAAAGCAGTATGTAGTTCAGGAAAACTGTGCTATATGAGTAGGAGCCACTTCTGAAGGTGTTATAGGTGTCTGTCTGTCTGGAATCAGCTGAGATCATATCCAAAAACTTCTTGAGTGAAAGCTGCGGGGTTGTATGGCAGTCTGCCTTCAGTTAGGGTGTGCTCCTTACTGAGGGCTGAAAAGCAGGGGGGAGCCAGGGCTTGCAGCTTCCTACACTATTTATTCCTGTAGGTCTTTGTTTTCAGCATTGTTAGCCTGCAGAGCAAATACAGAGGTGCTGAGCTTCCAGTCGAGTCCTGTAGCCACCTTCCTGACTCAAATACCCAATGGGGCAGCCAAGTACTTGGTAAGAATACTGTTATTCAGTGTGATTCTGACCTGAAAGGCATCAATTTTCAGCAAACCTCTTTTTCCCTATCAGGGATTATATCACCTGCATCAGCCATAACGTTATCCTTTCAAAGCTCTAAATTAGACTAGCGAGTCCGTAATTGTGAAGTGTTAAAACAGTGACACAGCATCACCTCCAGACCCTGTGAGATCTAGGTAATGTTTCAAGACTTGCGAGAAAGAAAAACTAATAAACCAGTTGATTTCTTGGCCAGACCCTTTAAAATTTTTAGGTAGGCATTATTTGGACCTCAAAATTTTAAACTATTTTGCTTTTTCATTACTGGTTAACTGCCTCTCCAAGTTACTGTTGAAATGGAGACTATTTCATCATCATATGGTATAAACTATCTTTTTTCCCAAGTGCAGCTCCAAAATATTAACTGACCTCGTTGTCTTTGTCTCCACTGTTTCTGAAAACTTCATTTTAGCAAATGGCTTGTGTGTGCTTTTCTGTAAGGCTGTTTGCATTCCCAGAGGATTTAAAATCTCATCTTCCTTGTCCTTATGACCATGCTTTCTTCCTCAGGCCTTTTTTCTTGCCATTTTCTGTCCTCTAATAGAGATTGCTGCATTTTTCTCCATTTATTGGCTTTTTTTTACTGTACCTTTCACTCTCTCCTGGGCTAGGCAAGTGTTCTAACTGGCATAGCTTTGATATTAACAGTAGGATTGCATCACCTTCTCTGCTCTCATAAATTGTTGTTAAAATGCTTGTAATAATCAGAAGCTGCTTTCTCTTTATGTTCTTTCTGCCACATGACTTGGCTCATAACTATTTTCAGCCTCATGAAACAGTCCTTTCTAGCACATATAGGATGTTAATTTGCATTCTATGTTTGTCGTGTGCAAATTACCCTCGCAAGTCCTGATTGCGGTGCTCTGCAGCAACCCGCTGGGCTTTAGTTCTGTGCTAAACCATCCTTTAGCTGTCACAACGTGGTTCCCAGCAGGCTTTCTCTCATGTCACCTTCAAAAATTTTCCAGAAGCTCCAGGGATATGAAGGGATGGTCCCACTACTTGTGGTCCCCAGGACGTGCCACTGATCTGGATCTGCTCAGGAGAAAGAGTCTGTCCCATTTCTGCCCATCACAAGGAAGAATTTCTGCTGGGTGTTATTGAGAAACCTAAAACATGGAGCCCATCTCAAAAGAAATTAAAGTTGAGGCATTTTTGCTCCTGCTGACGTGATGGGATAAGCTCTGTATGTAGCTATGTCTATGTAGTCTCCCAAAGTGAGCAGGAGATGCGCAGCCCGTGTCAGGATGGATCCGGTAACACTGGGATGTTTGTTTGTCTCATCTCAAACTCTTTGTAAAGTCTCATCTCTTTCCTCACTGTAATAGCTTTTTTTTTTTTCCTTTTCTGTGCAGAAGTTTTATCTTGTTTCAGCTGCCAGGCTCCAGATGGTAATTAAGGAGCTGGATGAAAATCCTGGCTCTTTCCTGTGTTTAATTTTATCAGCGAGGGTTTGGAATAAAATGTGTGTGTCATGAAACTCCTCATTTCCAGGGCTTACAGATTTATCCTGCCAGCATCTCAGAGTCTGGCAATAAGTGCTCGTGGAAAAGCCAAGAAAAACCCTGAATTGTTAGAAGCCTGCCTGGGCTGATAGCCTGGATTTTATTCTGTGTTTTCATTTATTGAAAGAAAAGAATCTGAAATAGCAGTTTCCATGCTGAAATAAAATAGTTCAGTGCTGAATATAGACATCTCCTTTCCAAACAAAGTTGACAGCCCTAGAAGTGATTCCTTGATTGAGTTATATGGGTTTTCCAGTCTTTGTTAGATATTTCCTTCTTTTTAAGGAAATACCCTTGATTATTACACATGGGAGAGCTCTACTCATGGATGTCAATGTAGGAAAAGCTGTCCTGTTCTTGAATTCAGAGGGATTGATGATTCTGGCAGGCACTGAGGTATGTTCTAAAGCCAAAACATTCATCCACCTTGACACTAGGGGAAAAAAATAGAGCTGTCAAAGTGAGCAGAGAATATTGGGTGCCAAACAAAAGAGATGTGAGCACAGCAGAGTGTTTCTCAGCACAGCATCTCACTGCTTCATACACCACTCTGGGGATCTCCATCCAGCTTGTGGCTGGGGATGTAAAGCTGCTGCATCACTTGGTGCCTTAGGGAATTGCAGGGCTCAGCTGCCAGGGCTGCCTCCCATGTCCTCCAAGCTTGGAAAAGCAGGCAGTTGTCCCTCTTTGTGCTGGCTGCAGGGGGGATGTTGAGTCTGGCTTGGAATGGGTGCAGTTTGCCCCAGCAGTGGGACAAGGCATGTCCTAGGGAAGGTTGGGAATGTTCTTTGTTGGACTGCAAGCACCTACAGCATTAGAGGGCTGAGGTAGCTGTAGGAAGAGGCTGAGAGGTCACGTATCCATTAGGTGGCAATGTGGGGAGCCCCTACAGGGGGAACGTGCTGGAAGGACCAAGGGGGCCACAGTCTGCAGGGCCTGAGAGGCACAAAATGCTCTAAGCTGGAAGTGGCCAGAGCTGGACACAGCCCCCTGGTGAGCATCCAGGCAGAGAACCTGACCTGTACTGGTGCACGCATGGGCAGAAGGCCCAGACCTATGCCTGGTTTTCATTTATTTGAGAGGAGAACTCTGAAATATGGCCAAGGAGTGCTGCAATAAAAGCAGTTAAATGATGATTTCTAAAATAAAAACTTTTTCATTCCCAGCTGAATGACGTGAAGCCTTGAGCTCATCCTGGAAATGTCATTCTTTTGCAGCAGCCATCATATCTCCATCACTTGGCACTTCTGCTCATGTGCGCCTCAGT